TTTGGTGGACAGTTGTTAACGTCACATAGAGAGGGAGCATGAGGAGGAGGGTAAGCATATATTATTGTACCATCTTTGAAAAATGCAGAATAGCATATATTTTGGAGGGAATCCTAGGCCATCAAAGTTGCCAGGAATGTTTTTGTTTTTATAAATGGAGAACCTTGAATATATCTTTGAAATCAGGTATTGCCTTTGTTTTAGGTTAGAAACACAAACATTTTAATAGGAATTTTCATAATGTAAGTTAATATCCTGTTCTGGAATTACAATATATATCAAATGATGAAGAGTAAAATTGTTGTTCATTACAAATAAACATTCTGAATTTAGAAAAAAATTACATATGGAGAACATGAAAATTCTGAACTAAAGATCAAGCTATGTAAATAATATTTTTTAGATCACAGAAGCAGAATAATGGCACTTTTGTGTGGTTCAGTTATCTTCATTTTCTTCTATCTTTAAATAGTTACTTAAATTAGAAAAGAACTGGTATTTGTTCTCAGAACCACACTACATATGTTTGAAGTTTTTTGAGTATATAGAGTTTTTACAGATGGATGACATTCCTGAGATGCTAATTCATACTAGATTTTTTTCTCACCCATTCTTGTCCCTTTCTTCCTCCCATAAAAATAAAAAGTTCATTCTGGTTTCACAAGGACTAAAGGGAGATGACTCCGGGTAGATAAGGAGGGCCTCTGAGAAGAACAGCTAGAGAGAGCTATATTTTCTCTTCCCTAGGGTTTGGGGAAGGGATGATGAATGTGCTGAGGAGATTTGGGTGTCCCTAGAGTGAACTGACTGTGTTGCACGGTTATCGGCCTAGTATGTGCCATGAAATCCTAGTACATCAGCCACTTCTCTCCACACATTCCCTTTGACCTCAGGTCAGTCCACTTTCTGGTTGCTCCTTCTGAACAGAGTGTTACAAATGAAATACATATTTGATGAGATTGTGTCCCCTTTTACTGGTGAATTCCCAGTGCTCGGTATAGTGAAGTCTATAATCTGTATGTGTTAATAGTTGTGCACATTTGAACGCTAAGATACTGGCCTTTTTCAGTTCCTTAAAGTTTCTATGATCTTTCTCACCATACAGCCTTAGCATAAGCTGTTCCCTCTGCCAGAGTATTCTTCTTATGCCTAGTCTGTGGCTTAGAAAATATGCATTTATCAAATATTTTTCCCCAGAAACCTTTTAAGAAATACAAGTTTCCTGCATTTGATAAGTACAACTTTAGGAACATAGTGATTCTTGCATTCATCAAATATTAGCTTACATGATTTCCAAGGGAATTCATTTTAATTCTCTAAGCTAGGGCAAAATTTCTTGCTGTATATTCTCATTGCACTTGGTACTTCTCTTTTTTGGTACTTTTTTATTTAAAAAAGATTTACTTGAAAGGCAGAGTGATGAGAGAGAGAGAGAGAGAGAATCTTCTATTTGCTGATTCATTTCCCCAAATGACTGGAATGGCTGGTGCTGGTCCATGCCTAGGCCAAGAGCTTGGATCTTCCACATGAATGGCAGGAGCCCAAGTACTTGTGCCATCTTTTGCTGCTTTCCCAGGTGCCTTAGCAAGGAGGTAGATAAGAAGTGGGGCAGTTGGGACACGAATAGCATTCCAATATGGGATGCTAGGGTGCAGGCAACAGCTTAGCTCACTGTACCACAACACTGGCCTTCTACTTTATAGTAACTTTAGAGTCTCTGTTAAATAATCCATGGTTTCAGTTATTATCATATATCTTTTATTCCACTAGAACAGATGTTGACAAACCATGGCCTCTATACAAAATAAGCCAGATACTTGTTTTTTTGTAAATAGTTTTATTGGAACACAGCCCTGCTCATTCACCAACATAATGTCTGTAGCTAAAGTAGCAGAATTGAGTAGCTGTGACAGAGACCTTTTCAAATCTTGATGTGTTTACTAGTTGAATCTACAATGTAAACCCGTAGCAGTCTGAAAATGTCATGAAGTGATTGTTTCTTTTTTCTACCATGTCTCTTATCAGTCTAGTACAAAGTCATTGGTGTTAAGTAGTCTTTCTGTCCCTACATCACCTTCACTACAAATCTCTCCAGAATTTTACCTTCTACCCTCCTTGTAGTGTCCCTTCTCATAGCCACTGATCTTATCAATGAAGTATGGTGGAGCGGAAGTGGAAGTTCTTTGGAACCCTCAAACAGAAACATCTGCACATCCAAACTTTCTCTTGCTAACATGGACTTCCTATTAAAACTTAATTATACCACATTCTGATCCTAAAAGTTTGCTGCTCTCCTAGTCTCACCAAAGATGCTTTTTCTAGAAAGGATTTAGACATGGAATCAACATCAGGATTAAACTATACTTGTACCTATGGGTACATATGTGTGTTGAGACCAGAGATCACTCTCTGTGTGTCTTTGTTTTTAGTTTCATAAATAACTCATTTTGCAAGACTGAGAGTGACAGAGACGGGCAAACAGATAGTGATCTTGAATCTTCTGATTTACTCCCCAAAGAACTGCTCCTCTCGTCCCTCCACACACACACAACTAAGGCTGGGCCAGGCCAAAGCCAGGACCCAGGAACTCAATGCAGGTTCCCCAGGTCAGTGGCATGGATGCAAGTACTTGAGCCATCATCTGTTCATCCCAGAGTGTGCTTTAGCAGGAAGCGGGAGTTGGAAACAGAGCCAGGATTGAAACCATGCACTTCCGATATATGATATGGGTGTCCCAAACAGGATCTTAACTGTTGTGCCAAATGTTTGCCGCTGTGTGTATTGACTGAGAAAATAAATAGAGACAGAAATCGCTTCAGAGATTAACAACAGGAAGCTGCTGTGTCCCTATGTTGGGAGGAGATACAGAGAAAGTGATGTTGCTGAAGGGAGGGGGCTGATGCTTCATGGCAGAAACTGGATCCTTGGGGAAGATGGAGCTGTTCCTAGAGAAATTACCAAGACAAAGAGAGAGGGTGAGAGCTGCCCTGGTTTCCTCCTTCTCCAACCAATTCCCATTGGCTAAACCTAGCAGGAGGAGGTGCCTAGGAAGGCTGAGAATTTCAGAACAGAATAGCAGAGGGACAAAGAATGGCAATGGGCATAAGTGGACAAAGCATCATTTAATGGGACACAGAATAGGTCAATAACGCTAAATTTCTTTTTCTTCCAATTCCATTGGCCTTAGGTTCTGTATCATACCACTAAGAAATAGAAAAGAAAAGTGCTTTCATAAAGTTCTCCAGGATCCCAAATCAGGACAAAAGCTCTAAGAATACGAAGGGCTGTCCTGCTCTGAGCTGATTGAAACCACTGCTTTTAGAAGGTAGTTGCTAGGTCAGGTTAAATGAATGTCACTCTCTCAGCTCCTGCATTCACTTCAGCACTTATTCTGCCTCTCTTTTGCTTGATTTTTCAAAGGTCTTTTGTCTCTAAGGCTCATCCCTACATCCTGCCCTGAAGAAACTTTTTCCGATTTATTGAATTTCTTCAAATTGGATTACTGTAATGTTTCACACAGGCACATTCAAAACACTGGATTTTGTGGTGATACTAATTATGTTGCCTTTTTCCTTTGGGTTCTGAACATTTGAAAAAATAGGTATAGAAGTGAGTTAGGGAGCACAATATCAGCTTTGCTGCTGAAAAAGAAACTACATTAAAAAAAAAAACTGCATTGAAGAGTGCAATGGGAGCTTGAAGATAAATGTGCTTCTTCTTACTGAGTGGAACTTAACAGAGAGGACGCCAAACTTTAGGCTGGGGTCCTGCACACGCAGTGTCATTTCCCTACACGAACCGGTTAACAAAGTTAACCCTTCCATGGAGGATTTTCAGATAATGAGGTGGAGGGAGTGACTAGAAGTTTTCCTCCATGTTCCTTTCTCTGGGGAGTGTAAAAGAAGTCCTCTTTGTTCAAAGGAGAGAAGACAGACAATAGATATCAATTTTCTACCTAGGGTAAACTCTCACCCATACATCTGAAACCTGACTTTGGTACAGTTCAGGTCCACTGGTACGAATTTGTCTGCAAATGAGACTTTGCTAGTTTTAAAATTTGCCTTATAATTTTTTTGCCTTGAGGAGGCAGTTTGGCAGTCGTTAAGATGCTACTTAGGATACCCACAACCAATATTGGAGTGCCTGGTTTAAGTCCTCGCTACTTCTCTTCTGATCCAGATTTCTGCTAATGTGCACCTGAGAGGCAGCAGTGATAGATTAAGTACTTGGGTCCCTGCCACCCATATTGGAGACCTGGGTGGAGTTTCAGCCTCCCTGTTTGGCCTGGCCCAGCCCTAGCTGTTGCAGGCACTGGATTGTAAACCCACAGGTAGAGCTCTCTCCATCTCTCTGCCTTTTAAATAAGAAAATAAATTGATAAAAAATAAAAATGAAAAAGCTTCCTTTAAAACTCAAGTATTATAAATATGTTGTTCTCTGTTATAAAAGTTAGCATAGTATAAGCAAAAATATATTATACACTGAATATAATCAAAACTCTTGATTCAGCTCTCAAAGCTAGAGTACTGGAATCGTGGTTGAGAATGTTAACTAATTTTGTGATTGAAAATAATTAAGCATGCCCCCTTGAAAGAAAATGTAAGTAACAAAACTAATAGCAGGTGAACTTTCTTATAAATGTCTAATTTCATTTATTTCAGATTTAGTAAAAAAAAAATTGAAACTCTATGTCCTCTAGGTGGCAGCAAATGAAATCATTTACAACAGTATTTCTGATAAAATAGAGAGGAAGGGGAGTCCCTATTGCAGTAAGTTGTAGGGGGAGAGCTAAGAATTTATATAGAAGCCACAGTTTGCAAAATGCACTGGCATATTAGACTAAAGAGACCAAACAAATTGCGATTACAGACTGCCTTGATCTTCTAAACTAAAACTCTCAATACCCATTCCTTCAGAATCATGTGTTCGTGTGTTCTAAGACAATCTTACAGATACACTGATGTCACAGTAACTTCCTGTGATGACTGGGGCACAGCTTGACCAGGTTCTCCAAAGCTTCTTGTTCCGGAGGCTGGGTCTCCAGTGTGGCAATGTTGAGGTGGTAGAACCTTTAAAGGGTAGGGCTCAGTAGGAGTTGATTAGGTCATTGAGAGCATCAACCTTGGAAGACACAAGCTATGTTCTGGAAGGACCACAGCTGGTTTCATCGGGAGTGAATTGTTATAAAAAGAGCAAGTCTGGCCCCTGCATCTCTCTGGCTTCCTGTCGTGCATTGAGATTGCTTCTGCAGGTGCCACTACTGTTGCAACGTGATCTGCCACTAGGTCCTTACCAGAGGCCAAATAGTTTTGGGAGGAAGAGGAGGCTTCATCTTGGACTTTCAGCCTCAAAAACCATGAGCTGGGTTAACCACTTTTCGTCATGAAATACTAGGCTCAGGTATGTTGTTATAGTCACTGATGACGGCACTCTTCATACTAGTGTTCTGAAAACGCAGTCATTGGTGATGACAGAGGCACAGATTCTGATGGACCTGTGCTAAGAACACTGTGTGACAAACTCCAGTGCCCAAATCCTTCAGGTACCCTTCTGTAAAACATCCTTGGTATCCATGCTCCCTTGCTGCTATGGAGGTATTCCTAACTGTAGTGGCTAATGCGCTTTATTTAATACATTTTCTTATTGGTTGATAAGCTTGATTTATTATATCAATAAGGCATGTTCCTTTCAAAATATAGTAAAGGATAATCTCCCAAAGTTTCTATATATTGAAATATATTTATTTCAAGTAATGTAAGCAACATGTTATCAACAGTAAAAAAAAAAAGAAAAAGAAAAGAAAAGAAAATCTTTAAATGTGTATAGTGACAAAGACTGTTTCCTTACCTGACTTTAGATAGGCACCTTGCACAAATCTATCTTAGGAAAGATCCTGCAAAGTCATCAGACACTTGATGTCTGGTCACACTTGGTATCTGGTTAAGTTTCCTATCTCCTATAACTGATGAAGAGCTTGGCCAACTTTTAACAGGAATCCTGTTAGGTCAGGTTAGCAAGACTCTCCATATCACTGATGTTTCCTCCCAGAAATTTTCTACCCATTGATGCTCTGCTATGATTTCAATGTTCCATCTAAAACTCTTGTTGAAGTTTAATTGCCCCTGCAATAGTAATGGGAGTTGGAATCTTTAAGATGTGTCTATGTCGTGAGGGCTATGCCTTCATGATGGATGAAGACGACTGTTACAATACTGGGTTAATTATTGTGACAGTGGGTGTTATAAAAATGTGTTTGACTCCCCCAGCTTTTCTTGCTTCTACTTCCTTTTGCTCTCATGGTTTCTTGCATCGTGATGACCTCTGCCATATTATGGCACAGTGTGAGGGTGTTCACTAGATACAGACCTTTGCTTTGGGACTTCTCACCTTCTGGAACTATGAGAAATGAATTTTGTTTCTTTAAAAATTTTCTAGTCTGTAGTATTATGCTACAGCAACAATAAATGGACTAAGATAAGCCCTCATTCTGATCTTTGACTATAAATTGCCACTTGTACTTGTTGTATTCAAAATGAAGCACAATTTCTTTCCCTGTTTGCAACAGTTTTGAACAAAAATCATTTTTAAGTTTATTTATTTGAAAGTCAGAGTTACAGAGAGAGGGGGAGAGAGAAAGAGAGAGAGAGAGAGAGAGCGCCTCTATCTGCCGGTTCACTCCCTAGATGGCGGAAATAACTAAGGCTGGAACAGGCAGAGGTTGGGAGCCAGGAACATCTTCCAGGTCTCCACTCTTACAGGGCTGGAGGGGCCCAAGCTCTTAGGCAATCTTCCACTGTTTTTCCCAGGCTATCAACAGGAGCTGAATTAAAAGTGGAGCAGCTGGAAGTCAAACTTGTACCTATATGGGATGCCAGTCTCATAGGCGGCAGCTTTATTTGTTATGCTACAGTGCTGGCCCCAAAATCTTATTTTAACAAGTGTCAGAATAATTTTTCAGGGCAGGAGTTTGATGCAATGGTTAAGGTGCCACTTGGAGATGCACACGCTAATGGGAGGCAGGAATGAAGTAGTTGGGTCACTACCATCTGTAATGGGAGATTCAGATTGAGTCCTAGTCTCCTGGCTTTGGGCTGACCCAGCTCCAGTTGTTGCAAGCATCTGGGAAATGTACCAGGAAATGGAAGGTCTCTCCCCTCACCCTCCATTTCAAATAAAAAAAATCAAATAAATAATTTGAAAAGAACAATCTCTCTTCAGCAATATATGTTTAATTTTTATTGTTTTACTTGTTCTCAAAAATATAACCTGTACCCTAGCAAAAATTCTAAATGGTTTTAAAATATTTTAAAAGCACATTATCTCTAGCAGAAAGTTTCTAAATGACCTTTTCATCATTTAACTTCTCTTTCAGCAGTATATAACTCCACTTGTTTTCCTGAATGGTCTATGAAGGGTCTTCAAAAAGTTCATTTTGAATATATATTATAAAAAACTATGTACAGATCTCATTTTTTTTTTACCAAAATGAGCTCATCTTTCTATTTTAAATTTTATTCTTTTCTTTTCTTTTTATTTGATAGGTAGAGAGGACAGATGGAGAGAAATCTTCTATCCTTTGGTTCACTCTTCAAATGCCTGTAACAGCTAAGGCTGGGTCAGGCCAAAGTCAGGAGCCTGAAACGCCAGCCCACCGCGGTCCCTGTGTGACTGGCAGCAATGCACAGACTTCTCCCATCATCTGCTGCCTTCCAGGATGCGCGTCATCAGGAAGCTGAATTGTAAGTGGGGAAGCCAGGACTCAAGCAGGCACTCCCAAAGCAGCCTTCTCAAGGGATGGCTTAGCTACTGCACCACATGCTCACTCTACAGAATAAACTTATTTTAATTCCATTTTCCACTAAAGTTTTGAAGTATCCTCGAAGTATCTCCAACTCTAATCCACTCTACCATTTTATGCACTGAAATTCCAGTAAAGAGAAACATGTTTAATTCATCATCACACATTTCCTGATTGTTGGACCTCAGCTCTTCCAGTTTGAGTTCCTTTTTCCCACAAAGATTTCAGTCAGGGAGCCATTTTTGGGTATCTGCATACTATTTCTTTTTTTTTGGTCTAGATACTTCTCTTTCAGAATAGTTTTTGTCACTGAAGCTGTTTCAGGAAGCCTATCATAGGATCAACTCTCTTTCTAAGTGTCTAAAACCTTACCTTATATGTACCTCACAGCACACGTTAATTTGGGATGTTGTGTTTCTTGTAAACATTATTACTTGTTTAAGTTCAAATTCCACCAGCTGGTTAAGGACAATCTCAAGTGTTGCCCTTTCTCTATGACCTTCGGTGATGATGTTTGCTGATATAATTTTATATACTTGATTAATTATTTTAATTGTGGGACACAGTGTGATAATTTGATTCATGTATTCAATGAGTGATGGCCAAATCAGTTTGGTTAGCATTTACATCTTTTTTAACATTAAAAATTTTAGAGTAACAACACCTTCAGGAATCAATGAAGTAAAGTGTGACATTGCCACAAATGTACACGATGTGTTCCAATCAAATCAAAGCAACCACTGTTCTCACTGCCGGTAAATTTCCCCTTCAACTGAGTCAATTTTTCCATACTGAATGGGGACACAACCTGTACAGAGCTACACATGGTAGCTGTTTTCTATAATATAGTGGTTCATGATTCTGATCATTTGAAAAATAATTCCTTAAGTGCCTATTCTGCCAGTATTGGGGCTAGACACTTTTAATCTATTGTTTCTAATCCTCACCCTGATTATCCAAATGGCTAATTATTATCCTCATTTTACCAATGATGAACTTAGGGTCGGAATGAAAGACTTACCCCAAATCAAAGAGTAACTAAGCGGTGGTGCAGGATCCAAAGTCTGTGCTTTATTCTTTACAATGATGCTTCCTTCCTCCCTGCTTCCATTCTTGTTTTCCTCCAAGTGTTAAAAACTATGTAGCATTTCATTTATATAGAGGTTTTCTAATGTCTATAAACTAAAGCAATTGAAAACAAGCCAAAAAAGAAAAGAAAATACAAAATAAAAAAACCTGTAAATCATCAAGAAAAAATAGTATTTATAGCACTGGCATACTTAATATACTTTAGCTTAGAACTTGCAGATCTTATATTTTGTGCAGAATGTATCGTGTTTGACAACATAATTGTGGGAGGGAGCGTATTAGAAACTAATTAAAGCTCACGCTCAATGAGAGAGTGAGCAAGAATCAGTTTTCAGGAAGTTAAGCAAATGAGGACTGCTTACTAAGAGAAAACAGTTTTATATTCTTTAACACAGGTCACTCCTTTAAGCCACATTGTGGTAATTTGCACCATCAAGTTCTCTATTTTACTGACTCACTTTCTAAAATGGCTATATGAACTGCAAAATGAGTAGCTCTTCCTACATATTGAGAAGTTTTAGCTGAAGTAGATATTATGTGGAAAATATATAATAGCATCTCATTAATTGTCTAATTCAATGTAGTTTCTTGAATTATCTTAAGCTCTTGGAACACTAAACTCATCAGGTACTGCTTAGTTGGTAGCTCTATTTCAATGTGTGTATTGAAGTTTCATGGGATAGTAACTTGTAAACTTTGAGAAAACATGCAAAATGATTGCAATATCCATGGTTTTCTAGACCCAAAGACAATTTTTTCACTTTTAATCTTTTCTTTCTTTCTTTTAATATTTATTTATTCATTTAAAAATCAGAATTATAGAGCGAGGAGAGACCTTCCATCTGCTGGTTCACTCCCCAGAGGACCACAACAGGCTGTGGTTGGGCCAGGCTGAAGTCAGTAGCCGGGAGCATCATCTGGGTCTCTCATGTGGGTGGCAGGGGCCTGTGTACTTGGGCCATCTTCTGATGCTTTTTCCAGGACACCAAAGGGAGTTAGATGGGAAGTGGAGCTGCTGGGACTCAAACCGGCACCTGTATGGGATGCTGGCATTGCAGGCGGTGCCACCACGCGGGCCCCCACATGTAGTATTTTCAGAAGTGGAATGTGTTTTGTGACTCTTCACATTTTCTGCAAAATCAGGGATTGATATTTTAGGAAAATATACAAAGATATGTTGATTTTAATTTAGTTGGAGAAAAACTTGGAAACAACTCAGTAGCCATCAGTATGGAAATGATTAAAAAAGTGATCATGATGTCATGCCATGGAACTCTATCAAACATTGTGTTGTCGCATGAAGACGGAAAAAGTGCGATGTTTACTAAGGTTCAGTGTGGAAGGCAAATACCCACTATTTCTTTCTTTTTTTTTTTAAGATTTATTTTATTTATTTGAAAGAGTTCCAGAGAGAGGTAGAGACAGAGAGAGAGAGAGAGGTCTTCCATCCACTGGTTCACTCCCCAGATGGCTGCAACGGCTGGAGCTGCGCTGACCGAAGCCAGGAGCCAGGAGCTTCTTCCGGGTGTCCCATGCAGGTGCAGGGGCCCAAGGACTTGGGCCATCTTCTACTGCTATCCCAGGCCATAGCAGAGAGCTGGATGGGAAGAGGAGCAGCTGGAACTAGAACCGGCATCCATATGGGATACTGACGCTTCAGGCCAGGGCTTTAACCCGCTGCGTCACAGTGCCGGCTCCCCACTATTTCTAAATTACGTAGACTACAATTCTGGTGGCTGGTTCATAGTGTCCTCTACTATGTAGTAAAAATCTCATGACTAAATGTATATCTGAATAAACATATATGATTAAATATATATCTGAGTTAACATATGAGCATATGCTGAACATATGTGAATACATAATATATAAAACACGTAGACAACATATGCATGCTTATATAATAGATATAAATATATATTTCATGTATACATATGTGTAATGCATATACATCTTTAGTAAATATAAACATATGTATATGAACCTGAATAAATGTTTACATTATAAAGATATAATTAAGTCATTTATCCTGGCTTTAAAAAATAAATTTATTATAAAAATAGAAAAAGCAATGATTTGCTAGTCAAATATTTAATGAGGCTACAGTTAAGGAATTAATAAGTAAAAGATGTCATTTCTGTTATTTAACAGATTCTAGCTCTACAATAACTTATAAAGTTAACTTTTGAGAACTAGGAAGGAACTTCTGTAATCATTCTCTCCTTTAGGGCAGTCACCAGTCACCAGTGACTATGAGCATGTGAAATGTGACCAGTCCAAACTGATGTATGCTGCAGATACAAAACACACACTAAATATGTAAGACTTCATAGGAAAGAAAGAATGTAAAATAGCTCACTAATAAAAATTTTAAAATATTGATAATGTGTTAAAATGATAATATTTTGGACATATAGTTGAAATAAAGTGAAATATGTTGTTCAAATTAATTTTACCTGTTTCTTTTTATTTTTAAGATGACTTATAGGAAATTTTAAATTACAGTTGTTCAGCGTTGCTGAGGATGTAGAGAAATGGTGATAAGGGATGTAAATTGGAATAGCCATTTTTGGAAAGCAATAGGGAGGTTCTTCAAAAAATTAAAAATAGAACCAACCGTTTGATCTACCAATTCCACTCTTGGATATATATCCAAAGGAATAAAAATCACAATCTTAAAGAAACACCTTTACTTCCAATGTTCTTGCAGCATTATTCACAATAGCCAAGATATGGAAATAATCAAAGTGTTCATTGATGTATGGATGGGCAAAGAAAATGTTAGATACATTATATATTTATATGTATGTGTATATAGTTTAGCCTCTGAAAGGGAATAGTGCCATTTGTAACTACACAGATGAATCTTCAGGACATTATCTTAAGTAAGAAAAGCCAGTTACAGAAAGTCAAATACTACATGATCTCACCAATACATTTGTAATGTCTTTAGACATTGCAAATGATCTCTGGATGTCTGTGGGTGGGGTGGGGGTGGGAGGGCACCACTGAATTAGAACAAAGCTAAATTCCACTGTCTCCCTGTACTGTTTTTTTTTCCCCCTTGAAGAAAGGACTTAACTTCCCTGAGTCATGAAAAACCAAGAGAAATGTCCATTTCAAGCATGTTGATAGATAGGGAATAGGAACACAACAAACTATAGTTCTCTTCTTTGCTTTCTCTTTGTTTTCATTTTTTGAAAACCAAGAAGTTATCATAGATTCTAGAAATGGAAACATTATACTTAGAAAGCAGTTTACCTTGTAGGATTTTAGTGTGGTAAACAATGAGATAATTCTAAGCCAGAAATAAACCCAAGCAGTAAACACTGGAAGAAAAATTGTGATTATTTTAAAATATTTTAGGCTTTATTTTTAATTAAATTATGTTGTAGTTTAATTATAATATTGACAAGTTTGAAATTTAACAATTTTACAGATTTAGTTCATTTTCATTTGTATTATTACCTCTGATTTTCACAACATACTTGTGAGATATATAAGGCAGAAAGAATCCTCATTTATAAATAAAATAAGGATTTTTTTTTGGGTTCAGAGAACTCAGTTGACTTGTTAAAGATGTTTGGTTACTTATTGTGGCAAGTGGATCTTGTGTTAGGTTTCTAATTCCAAAGGTAGTATCTTCAATTATTTAATAGCTGCCATTTACTAGACTCAATCTATTATTTGAATTTTAGGCTGCATTTGTAGTTGAAGTACAGAGTATCTTTAAAGATTTTACTGTATTTTTATTGCTATATAATTCAACTCAAGATTTGAGGGGGATGAACAGACTGGCTTGTTTTTTTCAAATGCTTCTTTTTAAAAATTTACAAAAATTATACTTAAGTTGCCATTTAGTAAGGGTTATGAAAGAAAGCTACACAGAAACACAGGGTGGACTCTTGCTCAAATTTACAAGGCTCTGTGCAGATTAATGGACAGCTTTCCTCCTTTACAATGAACACGTGCTCTGGATCACAGGGATGAGCTTTAGATCACTAGCTAAGAAGTCTACTCTCTGAACTGAAACCAGTCACTTTCGTAGTAACTAATGCTCTATTTCAGTAGCCCTATCTGATGGTATTCTGTCAAAAATTACCACTTCACTTCCCTAAATAGTCAGACAAGAGTCCTTTGGAATCACATGAGAAATGTTGATAACAGTAATAAGAAAAGTTGAAAAATGTAAATATGCTAAAAAAAGATATCTCAAGTCAAAACTGTATTCCTGGAACAGAAAAGGTTATGAAGGATGGAAAAATACAAGGTTACTTAGTCCTAGAATAAGGACACATGAAAATGTTCTAATGAGTTAACCTCAAAAACTCACCGATCCAAGAAAAAATATTTTGGGTTTAAATGTTAGCTTAACTGGAGAAATTTAGAATTCCCTTTGTGACTCTACTGGAAGGAAGCTCCTTGATCAAAACAACCTGGTTGTTTCAACAGGGTCAAGAAAAGTTGATAGCTCATGGAATGTGCTCAGTCATGGGTCTGAGCTGAATATATAGAGATCACCCCGAATGGTATTTCTGTCAAATGAAAAATGATCCTGCAAAGGTGAAGGAATGGAGAAGGGGAAGGAAGGTAGGAGGAAAGAAGGGAGAAGATATGACGTCCCTGATCAGTCTGGTTCTAAAGGGTAACAGAAACATTTCTATACACTATGAGTATTTTGAAGACAAGTCTTTATGCGAATGTTCAACTACCAACTGAATCTTAGTATTATCTGTAAGGGACAAGAAACATTCCGAAAACTGATATTGCACATGATCCTGAAAGCCAATTTTTGCCCACGTGCTACCTGTTTTCATTTGTGGTTCTTTTAGTCCTCCCTTTCCATTTCATGGTCACTTTCTCTCAACCAATTCTCCAACCAAAATATCTACTTAGTGAAAAGTACAGACAAGCTTCTTTTGAATAGATCTTACTGAATTATTTTAGGAATTTGATATTTCAGGTTATAAGATTCATATTTACTATTGGAAGCATGGGGTCAAGACCACAAGAAGAAAGGAAGTTTGAAGGATCCTATGGTTCATCATTAAATGCTTTCTTGAGGCTCTCCCTCCCCTCTTTGTCAACAAGAGTCTTTGCAGTCTTACCCTGTTTCAAAGTGACCTGTAGAGGCTGCATCATCCACATCTGTGGTTCTCAAACTTGTCAGCACACTGGAAACGGTGAGACATTTTTGAAAGAAATCATTCCTGAGTCTAACACTCAGGAGATTCTGAAACAATGGACCTGGATATTCAAACCTTTATCTTTCTCAAATATTTCTAATATGAAGTCAAGGCTAAGTATTTCTGGTACAGCCAGTGATCTGAAGGCAAATGTAGAAGTGAGGGCAATTTTCTGAGGCTCGTGATGTTATAACCAATTATAAGTGAACAAAATATTGAGTCCTTTGCTAACACTATTCAAAAATAACTCTTCAGATACAGGACTTAGAGCAAGGAGTAATGGTCTGGATAAACCAACCTGGGAGTCAATGTTTCACCAACAATGCTTGTCAAGGAGCTCCCAGTTAGAACTCCGTTTGCACAGGCTTTGGTTTGAACTACTAACCACTTTTAAACTAGCATTGATCATTGATCTTTCTTAGTGATTTTTAGTTAAATTCTGCTGTCAGAGATCACATTTGATATGATGCTAACATTTTAAATTTGGTTGATATTTAAGTATGACTGAGAATATGGCCTAGCCAAAACATAATTTATAGTCTCCTGTTGTTGGGTAGAATATATAAAAATGTCAATAGGTCAAGTTGGTTGACACTCCTGTTCAAGTTTTCTACGTCCTTGTGATTTTTGAGTATTGGTTTACCAATTCCTGGGAAAGAGGTTAAAATTGCCACCTACATCTGTGGATTTGCCTGCAAGCATTTTTCTTTTAGTTCTATCAGTTTTTGGTTTATGCATTTTTCAGCTGTGTTACTACAGGAATACTCTTTTTGGATCATTTTCTTTTCATGTGGAATGCTTTTGTACTCAGATTAACATTCTTGTACATATGTATGCCCATGAATTTGCTCTTTTTGTATCCATCTAACAATATTTTAAAAATTCATTTATTTACTTGAAAGACAAAAATACGCATGTGCACACACACACACACACAGATCTCCCATTTGATGGTTTACTCCCTAGCTGCCTACAACAGCCAAAACTGCATCAAGGAGAAGCCAGGAACTGAGAATTCAAAGCAGTTCTCCCACATGGGTGGTAGGGACTCAACTACTTGTGCCATCACCTGCTGCCTCCCAGTGTATGCTTTAGAAGGAAGCTGGAGTCTTGAGAAAAGCCAAAACTTGCACCCAGGTACTCCAAAATGGGATGTAGCGATCTTAATATGGAATCTTAACCACTATGCCAAATATCAGCCTGAATCTTTGCTTTTTTGATGGAGTGTTTAGACCATTTACTTAAAATTTTTTAAAGATTTATTTATTTATTTTGAAAGTCAGAGTTACACACATACACACATACACACACACAGAGAGAGAGAGAGAGAGAGAGAGAGGTCTTCCATCTGCTGGTTCACTCCCCAGATGACCGCAATGGCCAGAGCAGGGCCGATGGGAAGCCTGGAGCTGGGAGTTTCTTCCGGGTCTCCCACGTGGGTGCAGGGGCCCAAGGACTGACCTATGGCACTTCCATTTGCGCTGGTCTGGCACTCTCTGGGTTCGCAGCCATCAGAGAGGACTTCCTGCATCCCCCTCCCCCGCCCTGCCCCGGAAGGAGGAGATAGCAGTGGACGTTCTCCCAGGGCAACGGAGCAACGTCCTGGTGCGGGCTCGGGGTGCAGGTACCCGTTGTGGCCCAACCCTGCGAAGCCCACGTCCCGTGGTCTTGGAGTCGCCGCTGGTGGTGGAAGGCCAGGGGCCCTGATCCCCCTGGTTGGTGCCATGCCTGGGGCCAGGAAAGGATCGGTAACTCATGTGGAGCCCAAGGCCTTGGCAGGTCGCGCCAAGGCTGAGGGCGCCAGGGAGACCCCAAAGCCCCGGAAGAAACCTCCCTACCTGTTCCCACTCAGCGTGATGAGGTTGGGCAATATCGAAATTAGAGAAAGAGAGCGGCCCCCTGCTCCCGAGACGCTCTCAGAGCCAGAACAGAGCCAGGAGGAGGGCTCCTGCGGACTGGGCTGTGTCAGTTTCCCGTGCTGTCAGCGTTTGAATGACATTCGCTGCTTCATGGTTATCTACTTCATCCTGGCCTCCTCTCAAGGTGGGCCCGAGGGGCAGGGGCCTCCTGGGGAGGGCAGGGGGGAGGCAGCGCCCAGAGGTAGGATGGGCCAGGACGCCCTGCGGTGGCTCCAGCAGGAGGTTTGGGGTCTCTGTTCTCAAGCTGTGGG